ACAATACCTTTAATCTGCTGCTGGTCGGACATATGTGTCCATTACATCGTTAAAGAGCTAAACTTTTTCAATCCAGCGGCCATTTGAGTTTTAGCCTCATCAGCCTGTCAAATATGGTAAATAATTTACAGGTTTTAATTAGCTGCATCTTGTCGCTGTACAGAGTATTTCCGGCATAATCTGGAGAGGCAGGTATGTAGGTATTACGCAGGTCGTTAAGTGCAGGGAAGGTAAAGAGGTGGTGTGATACTGTTACATCCCTGCAGTCACACAGCGGGCATACAGGTGGGGTGTACTGTTTAGGTAGGAATTTAGTGGGATGTGTTGTGTTCGGAGGCGCAAGATAGTGACTTGTTCTCTTCTACTCAGGGAATTTCGTGTATCTTTTCGGTTGGGAGCAGTCATGAGTGCAAAATCAGTTCTCCCAGTTTTGCCCATTGCCCATCCATTCAGCTACTCTGCCGTCGTAAGGAAAAATGACGAATGGTCCTGCTGAGGTAGCTTGGCAAATTTTTCAGGACAGGCAAAAACTGTTTTCACTTTATAACTCTTCTACTTTTTATTCTTTTACGCTATAATTCACCAAATATCTGGTTACGGTGTTCATAAAGCTATTTTCAAAGTTTGAATGGTTTAGAATGAAAAGTAGCAAAGTTATTCAACATTCGTCGTTCTCCCTTTTACACTGCACGCCCGCAGGTGAGCCTTGCGATGTAAGCCAAAAGGACTAATGGTACCGTTCGTATTTCTCCCTTACACTCATGAAGGGTTATGGGCGTGGGCAGTTGTAACGCATCACCGACGGAGATGACTGTGTACAGGTTACTACAAATAAAAATAAGATGTACACAAACTAGCTGTTATACGTATAACGTAAGGTGTTAATTATGTCCTAATTCTAACCCACGAGCATGGTTCGTTTCCCTTCCTCGCTTGGTTAAACTACACAGTCAAAGTACAAATCGGATGTGTTATTTTAAAACACATTTTAACAGCTTGATTTAAAACTGTTTGACTCGGAATCAAGATTTGATCTCTATGAGATTTCGTTATTGCATTCTCTTCAGAAGCGAGTTTTACTTTTATTTCGGACTCGCAACCGTAAGGTCGTGGGTTCGAATCCTGTCAGGCGCCCGACGTTGTGTCATTGGGAAAGGCATTTTACACGAATTTTCCTCACTTCACCCAGGTGGGAATG